CCCTCGTCCGGCCCCACAGGGGGGGAGTTGAAATTGGTCAAACTCAACCTCCAGCGGGCAGCAGGAGGCGTCTTTTTTAACGTGGGGGCGGCGATCGTTGCGACTAAATGCGGGTTCGTCAGCAACACGGCTCCAAGCGTCGGTGGAGGGGTGCTCAGGTGAGGGGAGTGGAGTGTTGAGGGGTAGATGAGAGAGTGAGAAGGATGCTCATATGAGGGTCAACGCGTTGCTATGCGAGTTAGTCAGCAACACTACTCCAAGCGTTGGCGGAGGTTGCTCAGGTGAGGGGAGTGGAGTGTTGAGGGGTAGATGAGACAATGAGAAGGGTGCTCATATGAGGGTCAACGCGACGCTATGCGAGTTAATCAGCAACACTACTCCAACCGTTGGCGGAGGTTGCTCAGGTGAAGGCCAACGCCACTGTATGCGGCTTCGTTGGCAACAGGGGTCCTTGCATTGGCGGAGGGGTGCTCAGGTGAAGTGAGTGGAGTGTTGAGGGAGAGATGAGAGTGTGAGAGTATGCTTAGGTGAGCGTGTGTGGCGCATGTGAGAGTGTGTGTGGTGCGGCTGAGAGTGTGTGTGGTGTGGCTGAGAGTGTGTGTGGTGCGGCTGAGAGTTCGTGTGGTGCGGCTGAGAGTTCGTGTGGTGCGGCTGAGAGTTCGTGTGGTACGGCTGAGAGTTCGTGTGGTACGGCTGAGAGTTCGTGTGGTGCGGCTGAGAGTATTAGAACTCTCCACGCGAGTGAGTACATGGTGCATGTGAGGGTGCGTTTGGTGCATGTGAGAGTGCGTGTTGTGCATGTGAGACTGCGTGTTGTGCATGTCATAATGCTACATCAACGTGAGGCCTGCTCAAGAGTTCTTTGAGTCAACTCAAAATGGTCAGTCTCGTCTCATGCTGCACCTTACATGGCAAGTCGATGTGTGTGTGGCAGATGTGAGAGTGCGTGTGTGTCGAGAGTGCACTGGAAAGTGTGCGTGGCTCTTTTAGTCGACTCATGCTGCACCTTACACGGCAACTTAATGGGATTTTGCGACTAATATACTCCTAACACACTCCCCGTTGCCTCCTATCCACCCCTTCCGCCCCTCCTCCTCCCTCCCCTTTCAACGTCTCCCCAACCCACCAGCAACTCCTCCTCAGCAACAGCCATCACTCCCCCACCACCTCTTCCCTCGTTGCACCTTCCACAGAAGCAAACCCACTTCCATAACACACTCTCCTCTACCCCCCACCCACCCACCCCAACCCACCAGTGACTCCCTGAATCAGCCACCCCTCCCAACCGCCTCTTCTCGGAATGCACCTTCTACAACAACACTGCACCCATTGGGGGGGGAGGCGCAATCAGCATCAACTTGAAAAACCCCAAAGGCAGGGGGTCGCATGTGACGTTTGTGCACTGCTACTTTTACAATAATACAGCGACCCTTGGGGGGGGTGGCGCTGTCAGCATCAACTTGGGGAATCCCCAAAGCAGTGCGGCTAATGTGTCGTTTGCAGGATGTAGCTTCCAAAACAACAGCGCGCCCCAAGACAACGGAGGGGCGTTTTCAGTGGCAGGGAATGGTGCCATTTGGTGCAAGTGGTGATCGTTTGAAGGGAATAATGCCGGTGAGTGTGTGCGTTTGTGTGAGTATGTGTGTGCGCCCGAGCTTGCGTGCGTGCATGCGTGCGTGCGTGCGTGCGTGCGTGCATGCATACATGGGAGTTTATTTTAAGTTTGTTTTGAGACGTCTTAGAACTCAGCCTGAAAAGAGTCAGGCTCATATAGGAGTTTACTGTGTTCTCGGGGTGGTCCTGTCGGTGCCACAGAGCTTTCTAGCGTGGCTAAAGATCTAGTCCAGTAGCATCCACCTTTATTCCACATCTCTCCATTCCCACATCCCAGACACATCAAAGTGGGAAAGGCCTCATCTCAAAGAGTACTCCCTATCACCAAAATCACCTGCCCTTTCCCCCATCCACGCCACTTCCATTGCCGGATCCTCCCCAGGTCGCCCTGCTGCTCTTGCTTACTCCCTCTCAGACCCTCAAACCCTCATACCTTCGTTTCCAGGCTAAGCCGTTGACCTTGCTGCTTTACCCCATCCTTTGTCCCCATCCCACCTGTCCACCCTCCAGGCTTTCATGGGGGAGGCATCTTCTCGGATGGCATCTCCCTCTATCTCACTGCACCCACCTTCACGAGCAACAAGGCGATCGGCCCATTCTTTCGCACCTGCGGTGATGGCGGCGCTGTGCATGCCGTCTTAGGGCGCTACAGCACAGTGTTTCTCCGCTTCTGGGATGCTTCCTTTGTGGGCAACGCGGGCTGCCATGAGTCTTTCGACACACTCACCCTGATCCGGCCTTCCAACCGCATAAGTCTTCCGGGGACGGTGAAGTTCTGTGGTGGGATGAGGCCGGCTGGGCTCCGCGTGCCGATGGGGTGGAGGGAGACGTGCGATTGCAATGGCAGGTGAGGGAGAAAGCTGACTGGGTACGACTGGGGGCGAGGAAGTGTGGCGAGGAATGGGGGCGATTGCTGTGGGGGCAGTGGTCGGTGTTGCCCTGCCCCTAAGTGGGAGGCTGGTGGGGAGTTGATGCACATCCAGGTGAGGAGGTGTGGGTGGGTGAGGGAGGAAAGACTTTGGGGTTGAGGGGGCGTGGGTGGGTGAAGGATGAAAGAATTTGGGGTTGAGGGGGCGTGGGTGGGTGAAGGATGAAAGAATCTGGGGTTGAGGGGGCGTGGGTGGGTGAAGGATGAAAGACTTTGGGGTTGAGGGGGTGTGTGTTAGTGAGGGAGGAAAGATATTGGGGATGAGGGGCTGTGGGTGGGTGAGGGGGGAGCACTGGGAAAAGATTGGGCGGAGAGTCAGATCGGAGCAAATGCACGGGCAAGTGAGAGTGTTCATGAGGGGTGTGTGAGGTAGAGGGGGAAAGGAACAAGTGTCAGCATAGGAACCAAAATCTGAGGCAGAAGAAGTAGCAGGAGCAGAGGCAGCAGCAGAGGAAGGAGCATAGTAAAAGGACGTTTGGTGCAAATTGAAGGCCACCCCCACTGGCTTTTGAGACAAGGTTAGTTTCCAGACATCTCAAAATCAACCTTCTTTCATGTGGATGCCTTGTTGGTTTCTGAGAGAAGGTTGGTTTTGAGACATTTCAAAGCTGCCCAAACTCGAAGTTCCCCACACTGGAGTGGGATCCTCGGTTCGTGCCCGGCACTCCACTTCTCTCCCGTCCTCCCTTCCACCTTGCCCTCACGTTCCTCCTGCCCATTCCTTCCTCCTCCCGTCCTCCATCTGCTTTCTTCTCTCTTTCTTCCTCCCCAACCCCCCTGCTATCTCCCTCCACGCAGCACCTGTGCTTGATCCCTGAGTGTCAAACCCTCAGTCAACACATTGAAAACATGCTCTTCCCCTTTCATCATCTGTCCCTCTTTTCCTCCGTCCAAGCAGCACCTGTGACTGAGCCCTGCCTTTCATACTTCACCACAGTCAACTCCTAGTTTTTCAGTCAACTCCTGGCTTTTCAGTCAACTCCTGGCTTTTCAGTCCACTCCTGGCTTTTCAGTCAAATCCTGGCTTTTCAGTCAACTCCTAGATTTCTGCTGGTACCTCACAAGACATTCACAAGGAGTCATGCTTTTTAAGCATGTGATTGTGAATTGCAGCACGCGTCTGTGATGCATATAAGAGCTGCCCTCCTTCACAACACAAAAGTTGTACCATTAACTGAAGGTTCTCCAATAAATGACTCATGAATAGCTGCTACCCAACTACCGTAGCAACCTTGCATAGTGGCTGACATGTACTTGCTTTTCTTTCTCCTTCCTTTTTATTGTAGTATGCATATTCCGTAATGCATATCCTCTGTGTACTCTGTATTGGATTGGGTTGGGTACCATCACGATGTATATCATTCATGCCTGATTGAAAAGAATGCCGCACATTCTTTTTTTTTTTCCCCTTGAGATTAATCACTTTCACTTAACTAAACCAGCAAGATATTTGTATGGACTCAACTCAGCTGCCACGCCATGCCTCTCCTTGGCATAATAATGCATGTCATCACCATTTGACATGCTTGCACTGTTCACTTGCCATGGCAACACATGAACAAACCCCCTTGAACTGAATTCCAGGGGAGAAAACAATGTACGGTAGGAACAAATTGACGCACGTGGTGTTCATAAAGCTCTCAAAAGCATGCGTGTAGGTGTCCATAAACTCAAAGTTCATAAAAGATTGTAGGTGTCCTATCAAGAGCCCATGGGTACCGAATCCCCAGACTCGAATTCTCCAGGGAGGAGTAAAAAACAACGGGCCCTAACACACTGCCCATCGAGGCAAACAACTGCTACCGAATCACCCATGGGAGAACACTGCTTTCCCACATGGAATCCTGCACAGCAGCCCAACACCAGAACTGCACGCGCTCCTTCCACCGCGCCCCACTGATGACTCTCTAGCACACACAGCCATGCCATATGGCCTAACACATGCTCCCCCTGTGCCTGCCACTTCACACAAGAGAAGTCAAGGAGACAGATTGCTATCCCCCATCGGGTCGTGCGCAGCAACCCGGCACCAAAACTGCACGTGCTCCTTCCACCGCGCCCCACTAATCACGCCCCGGCACACGGTGCACGTCACACCGCTGCCATCCGCTGCTGCATCCGTCACCACCTGCATGCGCCCCTGCTCCAACAGTATCGTCGCCCCATCCACTCCATGCCTCCCTGCTGAGTCCATCCCATATGCTGCACCTGGGTCAATCCCATGCTGCCCTGATTGATCCACCCCATAGCCTGCTGCTGTTGGTTGCATCCCATACATTGCTGCCTGCTCTGATCCATATTTTGAATGAGAGGCATATCCATCTAACCCCTCCATTCCCTTCAGTGTCCCATTCCCGCGTTGCTCTCCCATGCTGTTGCTCCCCCCCATGCCCACGTCTCCTCTTCCCCACATCGTCACACTTCCCCCAGATGACATCTGCCCGGTGCCAGCTGGCATTGCCACTTCAGCGCTGCCAATGGCACAGCGCACCAGCAAGGCGGTGATGTCATCAGCTGCCTGCTGTAGCTGCTGCATCTGCTGCCGCTTGTGGTGCATGGCTCGGGCTCGTGTTAGTGGTGCCAGCACTGCTACCTCCCGCCCTGCACTCTCAACACCACGATGATCCGAGGAGAGTGGGCGGAGGATGGAACAGAGGGAGGAGGGAGGAGGGAGGGGGGAGGAGGGAGGGGGGAAGGAGGTGCGGAGATAACTAATACAATGGGAGCTAGTCTACGGGGTGGGCATGGGGTAGGAGTGATCACTGGGTTCTCTTTTTAGTCGTTCACTTGTGCTTCCTCTACTTGCACATTCACAGGGAGATTTTGGCAAGAGTTTCACTAGCACAAGTTTACAACAATGGTTCAGAATAGTGAAAGCAACATTGACTACATCAGATGCATGCAAGCAAGCTGGTCGACTGCCAGCGCAACACGGTCGACTGCGTTCCAGCACGACAAGGTCGGCCGCGCTCCAGCAGTGCAATGTAGCAGCCTGCCAACGCTGCAAGTCGACGGCGTGCCAACGCTGCAGCAAGGCGGCTGCACAGCGTTGCACCCGCAGGACAGCAGCGCATGTGCTTGCATCTGGTTGGCGATTGTGCCTCGTCATGTGGACAGCGTAGGACGCCAAGCCGACTACGTGCCCACGTCTCCACCTGATCCTCCAAATTGACCTCGGGATACCACACAGAAGTCTACATGGGCGATTGTCGCGCACCTCCGCAAATCCTCGTCGCCCGGGTAACTTGGTCAACCGGGCAACCACCAAGCCGGCGTCGACTTGTATGCCCGGCGCCGACCAGCTGCTGTACGTGCGCGTCAACCACCAGCCGACTTCACCAAGTCGGCGACCCTCAGGTTGATGCCCCAAAGTTGGCGTCATCCCACCAAGTCGACCTCACCAGATCGACCACCCGTTCTCGGCGCCCTCCAAGGTCGGCGCCATCTCCAGGTCGACGTCGGTGCCCTTCAAGTTCGGCGCCCTTCCCCTCGTCGACCACCTGGTCAAAGTCGGCCGCCGGCATCCCAAAGTCGGCGGCGTCTCAGTGGCCCCGTGTGTGCCTAAGTCGGCGTCGCCCACTACAGCTGGTCGGCTGTGCTCCCCGCACACCCGACAACAAAGTCGGCTCTGCCCAAGCGAGGACGGGGCCAACCACAATTCCTGTTGACAGGAGGGGGAAGTGGGGATGGAGGAGGAGGAAGAGTGGTGGACAACGGGAAAAAAAGAAAAACAAACAAACAAACAAACAAACAAAAAAAAAAAAAGAAAAAAAAAACACACACACAGTGACTCAACCCTCACTGTTGCAGTGCTGCAGGTGGTGATGGTCGTGGTGCATGGCTCGGGCTCGTGTGAGTGCTGCCACCACTGCTGCCTCCCCACATGCGCTCTAAGCACAGCTATGGTCTAATCTATGAGGGGTGAGCGGATGGTAGGAGGGAGGAAGGCAGGACGGAGGATGCTAGTCGCTGGTTCTTCTGGTTACCAGACACAGCAAAGAGTCTTACTGCTAGCAGAATAGAATACAAGTAAATATGTATACATGGGCACATACACATATAAATAAGCATGGTAATGATGAAGGTGAGGGCAGGAGCGGATTTTACCGGCTCAAAGCAAAAGCAGGACACCAGTTGTCCGAGCATCGAGGGCTGAAGGGCGACACGCGAGGGCCCAGCTGCCTAGGTTGGATTGTGATGGCAATCTGCAAGGCAGCGGCTCACAAGTTGCAAGGCAGCGGCTCACCAGCTGTAAGACAGTGGCTCACCAGTTGCAAGGCAGCGGCTCATCAGTTGCAAGGCAGCGGCTCACCAGTTGCAAGGCACCGGCTCACCAGTTGCAAGGCAGCGGCTCACCAGTTGCAAGGCAGCGGCTCACTAGATGCAAGGCAGCGGCTCACCAGTTGCAAGGCAGCGACTCACCAACTGGTGTATTTTGCATGTGAGGTGCGTGTGGTGCATGTGAGGGTGTGTCTGGTGCATGTGAGAGTGTCTGGTGCATGTGAGAGTGTGTCTGGTGCATATGAGAGTGTGTTTGGTGCATGTGAGAGTGTGTTTGGTGCATGTGAGAGTGTGTCTGGTGCACGTGAGAGTGTGTTTGGTGCATGTGAGAGTGTGGCTGGTGCATATGAGAGTGTGTTTGGTGCATGTGAGAGCGTGTCTGGTGCACGTGAGAGTGTGTCTGGTGCATGTGAGAGTGTGTCTGGTGCATGTGGAAGTGTGTCTGGTGCATGTGAGAGTGTATCTGGTGCATGTGAGAGTGTGTTTGATGCATGTGAGTGTGTCTGGTGCATGCGAGAGTGTGTGTGGTGCATGTGAGGGTGCGTGTGGTGCCTGGAAGCATGATACATTGACTATCAGCATACCTGTTAAATCTTTGAGTCGTCTCAAGATATTCTGGTCTTTCTCATGCTGCACTTTACACAACAACTTCTCGGGGAAGTTTTGGATGATGGGCCCCCAATTCCCTAACACACTCCCCATGACTCGTGCCCTCCCCTCCCTCCCCCTTTAACGTTTCCCCAACCCACCAGCAACCCCTTGTCAAGGCTAGACATCACTCCCCTTCTTTCCTTGTTGCACCTTCCACAACAGCACACTTCACTACCTTAACACACTCTCCTCTACCCCCAACCCACCCCAACCCACCAGAGACTCCTTCCCTGCATCAGCCACCCCTCCCAACGGCTTCTTCTCGCGGTGCACCTTCCGCAACAACAGGGCGTCATACACAATGGGTGGCGCAATCAGCATCAACGCGGAGAACCCCGAGGAAAGCGTGCCTCCTTTGTTAGTTGAGGGCTGCACCTTCCAGGAAATCAGCGTGCCCAACGGCTGCAGAGGAGCGATTTCGGTGGTGGGGACTTGCAGCATTCGTATCAAGGGGTGTCGGTTTGTAAATAACAGCGCTGGTGAGTGTGTGTATGTGCGTTTGTGTGGATGTGTGAGTTTATGTAGATGAATGTGCTAGTTTTTGTACCTATGGTGACCACCCTTGCCACTTTCCTTGCCTGATCCTTCACCTCGAGTCCCCCCGCTGCCGTTGCTTACGCTGTCTCAAACCCGCACACCCTCTTTTTCAGACTAGGCCGTTGGCCTTGCTGCTTAACCACTTCCATTATCCCTATCCCACCCTCCCACCCTCAAGGTGCATCTAGGAGAGGCACACACTCGAACGGAGTCTCCCTCTCTCTCACACGTGCCCGCTTCAAGAACCAAAGTGCCCACAACCCATCCCGTGGCACCTGTGGCTATGGCGGCGCTATGCACGCCGTCTCAGGACGTCACCTCCTTTGCTTTCTCCTCACTTTCCCTGACCCCAACCTCAGTCTTTCTCTGCATCCACTCAGCACTTGTTCTTGATACACACTCAGGACTTATTCTTGATACCTTGGCTGTATGTTCTATAGACGCCGCTTCATAACAGAAAACAAAGCTTTTGCTTTCCACCCCTTTTTCCTCTTCCCTGGTTTCCTCTGTCCAAATAGCACTTGTGCTTGATCCCGCCTGTCACTCGTCACTGCACTCAACTCCTGGCTTTTCCGCTGGCTCCTAACCTCATGCTCACCAGCAGTAACGAGAACGGTATAAAGCTACAACAATTGTGTGTGATATGGATGAAGACAACTCTTCTTGACAACACAGGAGATGTACTTTATGTATGAAGGGTCCCTTGGCAAAATCAATATACTCAATGTATGTCATAAATAGCTGCTGTGCTGTGGATCCAGCACCCCCACCCCGTGGACGTGCAAACATTTGACCATATTTTTTTGTCATTAGTATTTGTTTCTGTGTTTTTGTATGGTGCGTTCTGTGTTTGTGCTGATGATGAGCACGGTGGTGTCTCATTACTAGACTGATGATTAACATTAGAAACTCATGTAGTTTTCAGTTCAGCAAAAATGAGATTGTAATTTCTGAAACGGGAGGTGTTTCTCAGAAACATATTTGTGGAAGCGAGGCTGATGCTTTCTACTCCTGCAGGAATCTACTATGGCACAAAATAAGGCGCTTAGGGGATGTTTAGAAAGTTGGTTCAAATGAGACTCAATGCAGCTAAAAATGAACTGTATTACTATATATTTAGGATATTTGGTTAGGGTACCTTGCGAACTCGTACATTCGGGACTCGCCATAGCGGGTGTATAACTCGCCTCGTCTGCCATGGCAGGTTAGGGCGTGTCACCTCGGGGCTGGAAGGCCCAAATCCGAACATGCATAACGAATTCACTGTACGAACAGTGTCCGAACACAAATTTGAGCACCTTGTTGAATGGGACAGCTCGTCACCAGAGGTGACATCCTCTCTTTTCGAACACGCAGCCTGTTCGAACATGCGACGTCGCCTATAATAGGACGACGTCGTTAAGCGTCGCAATGAAAACTTTCAGTCGCCTTCCATTCTAGTTTGACCCATTCTCGCCCATCCAATCACAATGTCTCCTCGTACTCCTCTACTGCTGCTCACGATTTTGTTTCCCAGCTACACTGCCCTTTCCAATGCACTGCGACAGTTTCCGGTGAGAAGTGATTTTGCTAGCGACTATGCGGGGTGCTGTCCAATCAGAGGCGTCGTCCGTGCTGAGAGGGGGCCTCTTATCATTCTGTGTTCGAACAGCGCTGTTCGAACGTGCAACACATTTGGCAGCATGCCCAATGTGACAGCGCTGTTCGAATTGGCGAAAGTTCTAGTTAGCGACGTCGTTAGGGGCCTACGAAGCCTGGTGAAGCATGTAACATTTCGCCTGTTCGAACGAGAGGCCTGTTCGAACCTGGAGGTGACACGCCCTTATGCACTGGTCATAACATTCAAATTCAGGGCAACCGTGAGTTGCGCGAGTTGTTGTTTCTGCGACTCGCGATGCCAGGGGATGTTTCAGGTGGGAGCCATGTCATAAACAGCTAATTCCCACCCATATGCCCGTGGCTGGCGCGACCATCCAATCCCTGGTTTGC